TGGTTCCTTACAACTCATTGAAGCCCGTCGGTCTACTCCGGGTGACCGTGAGTTTGACCATAAACGAAGGATGTTACGTAAGGAAATTGGGCAAAGCTTGCGTAAGGACCGAGAAGCCTGGTGGTCGAAGCGTGCTAATGAGCTGGAAGCAGCAGCTGCATCTGGTAACTACCGGAAGCTCTTCCAGCTCATCCGAGCCACTGGCAGCAAGAAGTCTGGTGTGAGTGAAACAATCTGCGAGGATGATGGGATGCCAATCACTAACATCCATCGACGTCTTGGACGATGGGCAGAATTTTTCGAAGGGCAGTTCAACTGGCCTGCTGCTCCGGCAACATCGGTCAGACTGTCCTGCCCTCCATGGCCGGTGACGACTGATCCACCAAACGAGGAGGAAGTCCGCAAGGAACTCCAACTCTTGAAGCGTTACAAATCACCTGGCCCAGATGACTTACCTCCGGCTCTTTTTAAAGATGGTGGTGACTTTTTGACTAAGGAATTGACGACGTTGTTTACAAAGGTTTGGGAACTAGAGAGTGTACCAACGTCATGGAATGAGTCGATAGTTGTCCCTATCTTTAAAAAGGGTTCACGTCGTTCCTGTAACAACTATCGGGGGATAAGTCTACTTCCGATTGCGTCCAAGCTATTGGCTTCCGTCATACTTCGTAGGTTGTTCAAAACCCGAGAAAGATTGACTCGCGAGGAGCAGGCTGGGTTTCGTTCTGGTCGAGGATGTATTGATCATATCTTCACCCTCCGCCAAATGTTAGAACACCGCCATACTTATCAAAGGCCAACAATCGTAGTGTTTCTTGACATCAGGGCTGCCTTCGATTCGTTGGACAGGACTGTTCTCTGGGATTGTCTATTGAAGAAGGGTGTGCCTGAGAAGTTTATTAACATCCTAAAAGCCCTATATAAAACACCTCAGGCAGAGTGAGGGCATACAACCACCTCTCTCCATTGTTCCATTCGAGCAGTGGGGTTAGGCAGGGTTGCCCAATCTCACCATTCCTCTTCAACTTTGCCATCGATGACATTCTGGAAACAGCTCTGATGAATGTAAGTAATGGTGGTGTGGATCTGTTGCCTGGAGAAAGACTTCTCGACCTTGAGTATGCGGACGATATTGTCTTACTGTGCGATAATGCCCAAGGCATGCAATCCGCACTTAATCAGTTGGCAATCAGTGTCCGTAGGTATGGTATGTGCTTTGCACCTTCGAAGTGCAAAGTACTTCTACAAGACTGGCAGGATTCCAATCCTGTACTCACCCTGGATGGTGAGCAGATAGACGTAGTCGAGAAGTTCGTGTATCTGGGTAGCTGCATAAGTGCTGGTGGGGGTGTGAGTGATGAGATCAATGCACGAATAGTGAAAGCCAGAGCGGCTTATGCCAATCTGGGCCACCTTTGGCGCCTTCGTGATGTTAGTCTGGCTGTAAAAGGTCGGATCTACAACGCGTCGGTGAGAGCAGTTTTGCTCTATGCTTGTGAAACCTGGCCTCTCCGAGTTGAGGACGTTAGACGACTCTCTGTGTTCGATCATCGCTGTCTCCGAAGGATTGCTGACATTCAGTGGCAACACCATGTCAGTAATGCAGAGGTTCGGCATCGTGTGTTCGGGCACAGAGATGATAATCAATTGGTGTCACCATCTTGAAACACCGACTTCGGTGGCTTGGACATGTTCTCCGAATGTCGTCCCAGAGAATTCCACGTCGTGCATTATTTGCCGACTCTGGGACTGGTTGGAAGAAGCGGAGAGGTGGTCAGTGCATGACATGGTGTCGTGGCATGAAAGAAAGCTGCAAAGGACTGGCTTGTGTTGGTCCTTCACGACTCCCTGGTTGGGGTCTGAGAGATGGTGCTACACAGTGGCTAGAGACGTTATCAGATATGGCTCAGAATAGAAGCCAGTGGCGATCCTGCTGTAACCTTCTTTTACTTTCTTCATAAAAAGTGGTTGTGTCTCCCTTACCTGAAAGATTTCTTCTGATTGTCACTTTCCGTTCCCTCATTATTACTACACTACCTTACACCAATCTCTTCGTTATTGTTCTCTCTTTTTTTACGCTCCTTACCTTTTCTTTCTTTCTCTTCGAACTCTCATTGTTTTGTGTGGCGCATATATATTGGCGCTCTCTTGTACCAATATTTATGTGTTCAAATAAATAAATTCGTTTTTCATTTAAACGCAGCAGATTTATTAAGATACATATTACATATTATTACGGGTCTCGATTTAAGCCATCCTGTGTAGTATGTTTGATCATTTTAAGAATATCGGGATAATGGTTTTGACCATTTAGTCACCGTTGTGATTGCCTGTAAATATTTCCTCTATTTTCAGATAAAACTGATGTCACATATTCTGACTAGTATTGTAAATAAAGTTTCTATTCATGAGATTTTTGTTTCCCTGTATAAAGGAAGAATGGATTCAAATTCGTTAAAGGGAGCTTTACGAATGAATTAGCTCCAAAATTTATTACTTTTTAAAAGGACGATGATAAAGTATTTGTCACACATGTTCCTCGAAAAATGTTTTTATCATACTCAGATTTTATTGTCAAATAATTTATCTTCCAAGCAAGTCACACCTTATCGTCAACTGTTTTTTCAAGGAATAAATGGTAGAAATGTAGAACACATACTTTTTTAGAAGGTGCCTGACTATAATAACCTTGTTCTATGTAAAATGACTTGTCTTAAAAAGGGCAGTGGGTTTTTATTTATTCATTTGGCTTCCAACAAGTAGTTATCATTTTCAAACCTTATCTAATCTAACTCAGAAAAGTTAAGTAGTATTATCAGTCTCCACACAATGTGACTCACAGTCAACTGCTTAAACATGTATCCAGTAAATGAGTCATAAAATGATACTAAGATTTAGTGCAGGTACAATTTCCCGATGCATTCTCTATATATGGTGCTGACGAATCAGCACGCGGTAAATCTTAAAATAGTCTTAACACTGTCTGTTTGTATAGTATAAAATCCATACAAGTGATACAAAAACTTAAACATAATCATTTTAACGAAACTACATAGTCACGGGGAATCCCTCGTCCTAGTCAGTCAATCGTAGTCGAAATAGAGCCTGAGAAAAATGTCTGTTGGCCCAAATTATTATATCATATAGTAACGATGAGGTAGAACCAATAAAACAAGTCGAAACAATGTAGTAGGGATGATAATAAGGGAGACTAACTATTAAGAGTGTATTTAAAAAAGATAATGAAAAATTATATATGAAGAAATACCGAGACTCAAGATGAAGAGCAAGATAAAGAGTGGATGTGTGCCATTGTGAACGATTATTATCAGTACCATTCGTCTTTAACAATTGGTTACGAAAATTGTGCTGATCCCAACCAGGTAGTCTACATTAACCTAAATGACCTAGTTCACCAACCGAAGACTTCATAAATTGGTCCCACGTCATGGTTCAACAGCACTTGAACTCCTTACCTACTCCTACGCTAGTTAGCGACGCGCTTTGAGGCAGTCGGTGCTTGGTCATGTCTCAATCATGTTAGTCGATGAAGATCCACTTCCTTATCAATCGATGTCATCTTTTCCTGTTACGTTATGCTTAACTCTGGCATTACTAGTTCAGTTTTTCCATAATGTATGAACAGTACTTGGGAGACACCCACGATAAAGAAAACTTAAGCATACATATGTCTTTTGATTTCAGAGGCCTTGCTCAGCAGTCAGTCAGCACTAAGTAACGTGTAATATCGTACGAATAATAGATATATGCCATAATTGGTCATTAATACGTTAAACATGGGTAAATCAAGGTTTTGTAAAGTCTTGGTGGTAAGGATTTACAATGTAATTTGATTGGTAAACTATCCAAATAAGAACAGACCTAGCGCAATCTGTTTTAGCAAAGAAATTTGGGCATCTATTTTCACTTTACTTATTAGTAGGACTAGACGATGACTCTTGCATTTTCAAAATTACTTGCTGAGCTAGAGGAAAATAAATTCCACTAACTTGTTAAATGATAATCTGTGAAGATAAATATTTAGTGAAAATTGGGCGTTTTTGTGACAATTGGTTTACTAATTACTAACTAACTCATGATTGCTCCAGTCTTATTTTTCTACTTGGTAATTCTACTTATCGTTCAAAGGAGAATCATCTGCCTTTTATCTCATTCGATATCGATTTGAAATGCGAAATAATATTTTAAATATGTTAACTTAATAACATTAGTTTTGGTTATGCTTGACAATCCAACCATTAGTCTGTTGGATTATTGTCATTCCATAATTATGCATTATTGAATTCTTTCTTAGTTGGTGATAAAACTTTGGATCTTATTGTTTCATCAATAGAATTTTGACCTCATAATATTTTAATTATCGACATTTTTGCTTCTGATCATGAAATATTCTCTGTGGTTAATTAACTCACACTGAGAACTCTTAGTTTTTTCATGCACTAATTATTATTGAGACTTTGTTTCACTTTTTAAGTTTGCTATAAACCTTTGCATCTATAATAATGTGTGTGTTTGCAGCACAGAGCCAGACTGATTGTATACTATGAATATGACACTTAATTCTCATTTCAACCAAGATTCAATAGAAAAGACTACATAATATGACGTTGATAAGCTTATTGATCAATATTTATTTCTGGAAATTTGATCTAATGTTCAACTAGTCGCATCCTTGTCTTTGAGGTCATAGTCACAGAATAATTATCTTTGGAATAAATTTGGTCAGTGAATTTACTGTCCGTAATTTTTCACCAGCTTATATTTTGAAGTACGCTCACATTTATTTCGTGGTCAGAAATCTTTGTGGTAGTTTCCCATCATTATCTCCTTGATCGAAAAAGTTATGGATTGGTTGAAACGTGAGATTGAATCATCTTCTAGTATGAAGTTTAAGTTTGTTAATTTTTTTTTCGTGTATAGGATTCTCAGTTTGAAAGGATTTACTTTTCAGCTTCCTGGATAACGAGGCTTATGATTTTATGGGTTCATCTAGATTTTCATATGATTTATCTTCTGGAAATATTGCTCGCTATACTGGGGATCCAGTGATTTGGAATAATGTGTATGCTATCATAGAGCTAGATGAACTTGGATTGTCGCGAAAGCGGGATAATTATTCTATGTTTTTCATGTTGACAGATGATAAAACTTACAATGTGGTTAGTGTTTCTACGATTTTCATTCTTGTTTATTTTATATTTTCCGAGTAACTAGCATGTTTTGCTAGGTTTCATATATTTTTCCAGTTATCTAAAAGGCCCATTTAGTTTCTTTAAGTCAATCTCAACTTTTTTTATCAGATAACGCGTTATCTTTACTATTTAGGTAAGTAAAGTAATTGATGTACTCCTTATGAATAGATATGATTCAGTGTTTCTATGTTCGGAGGAATAATATGTAGAGTTCTGCTCACCTGTCCGATCCCTGGATTTGAACCCATATTGAGGATTGTGTTCTGTGCGAATTCTGAGCCAGCTTTCTCAATGAATAAACGTTTATTTATCAGGAGTCTGTTGTAATTTTTTAAAATCTCAAGTGCATGTGTCACGCTTTGGCATGAAGTATGGAAACAATGATGTTATCGACCGTAAAACAGCACTCACTGTGTACTCATAATATATATAACATTTGGGAACTGGTTTGCTGCCTATGTTTGTTTTTAAATTAAGCAGTCTTTAACATCTTAGCTTAACATTATATTTTCCGTAATACCAATTCTGTAGAGCTTCACTTACTACCTGGCTTAAAAGTTAATGGTAGACAAGGAAAAGTATTTGTGGATAATTCATAATGGTGTTATATATCCTAAAGTTGTTTCCTGTTGAAGTATTGTATAATACATATACCACTGTCATTAAAGTACATCATCATCTACTTCATTTACAATATTAAGAGTAGTCGAGGCATAGATATGTATCTCGGGATTTAACGGAGGTGGTTACCTCAACATGAGTTTTATTGGGTTACATTTTTAGTGCATCTATGTTGAATATTATACTCAGAGAGCTGAAGATAATTTGCCATATCATCTGTAAAGAGGTTCGATATGAAAAGTAGTTGATAACTGGTCATTGTTGCATCAGCACTTCTAATTTATCCAACGCTTTTTGCAATTAAACAATCCCACTTTTGAGTAGATATTATTCTAAGCTTCACGACTTTCTCTAAATAACATATGTAGTCTTCAAAATATATCTCCTACACGTTGATTACTTCATTTCCACCAGACTATTGAGTTTTCACATAACATTTGTTCAACGATGCTAGCTGAGAAATAATTCGGTAGTTATTGAATCTAAACACAGATATCTTGTAGTTTTTTATGAACGATTTATATTGTTATGCACCTGCAAAGTCATTTTTTTCAATTTGTAGACTCGAAATCTTACGGATAATATTTTCCATCACCTAACTGCTGCGAGTGAAACTAACCAAAAAGTCGATATAAAAAGACCATTAAACAAATTACGAAAGTTACCACTACCTCCAATATCATCAATGCAAACTCTTCTTCAAAAGTAGTTGATAACTGGTCATTGTTGCATCAGCACTTCTAATTTATCCAACGCTTTTTGTAATTAAACAATCCCACTTTTGAGTAGATATTATTCTAAGCTTCACGACTTTCTCTAAATAACATATGTAGTCTTCAAAATATATCTCCTACACGTTGATTACTTCATTTCCACCAGACTATTGAGTTTTCACATAACATTTGTTCAACGATGCTAGCTGAGAAATAATTCGGTAGTTATTGAATCTAAACACAGATATCTTGTAGTTTTTTATGAACGATTTATATTGTTATGCACCTGCAAAGTCATTTTTTTCAATTTGTAGACTCGAAATCTTACGGATAATATTTTCCATCACCTAACTGCTGCGAGTGAAACTAACCAAAAAGTCGATATAAAAAGACCATTAAACAAATTACGAAAGTTACCACTACCTCCAATATCATCAATGCAAACTCTTCTTCAAAACTCACCTCGTCCCCTTCCTCATGTGGTGTTAAGTGATTATGATCGTCCACCTTTTCTTAATAAACATTTTGAGAGTTTTCTTGATACTAGATGGCCTCCATTGGATAATCCTACTGCAGATACAACCCTTCTCGATTTTGCCAACACTCTAGCAGATGCTTTGCATAGAGTAAGTTTTTAACTAGTTCGGCAAAATTTTATTTATTTTTCATCAAGTAATCCTAAAACTTTTAATGTCTACAGTTTACTTTCAAGTTAGATATTCACTAAAAATCTTAAAGATTTCTTAGGGAAAAAATTCCGTAGTCATAATACTACCCGTGAAACTCCATAATGTTGCAAAATACTGTTATAACTGCAAATTAATTTAGGAGCAAGTATAACTTGTGAAACTTAACAGGAACTAAGTGATTAGCACAGAATATGAATTCAGCTGTCATAGAAATTAAAAGTGAACGTTAATTTTTAATGATCTAACTGAATAAGTCAGGAGAACAATGTATTGTTGACTATTAATTATAGTTTTTCCATGATAATAATTCTACCTGAAACTACGCTTTACTGGGGAATACGATTTGTTGAACAATTTGATATATTATAGTAAATATAGATTACAAACTTCTCCGAATTGTTTATTTAACAAACGTTTTGTTAACCACCTTTACTCGCTAGTTGCATAATGTATCTAATAAATAGAATCTCATTAACATATCAACTAAAGCGTATAAAATATCTTTTGACCTAGTACTTTATCCGGCGAATCGAAATGTACAAATGGTTAGTAAGTGTACTTAGTTTTTTTTCAGAGAAATCCATTTCGTCCGTTAAAAATAGATCGTCTGTATGTGCGCACATAAAAGCTTACTACAGAGAGTGATGCAGAACAAATGAATACATGTATCTAGTCATTATTTGTCACCATAGTCAACTGATTTAAACAAAAGTTATAAATTTTTTGGATACCTTATTCAAAGTTTCGTACACTATACGATGATCTATTCAACGTGTAAACACTAAAAACAATTTAGCATGAGGTAATAAACCTTATAAATCAGTAGCTAGGAAATGAGTATGTGATCAAATAACCGTAAAGTGCTCTTAACAAGACGTTACAAAGGAATAATGTGGGAATGTGCTGGCGTTCTTGTATATACAGCCGAGTTTTTTATGTATGATATGTAGATCTCTGTTTAGTGGTAAAACATACACATCGCCAACTTTGTTTTATAAAAGGTGAAAAAGTACATCATTTTTAATGATCATTTTCTTAATTTATGGTCACTTTTCTTGAAATTATGTCGGAAATTACTCCAACTTTATACAGCACTTCACAAATTCATAACCTCATGTTTATATTTAACCTACGATCAAACCATTTGGTAATGATTCTACCCATACTTCATGCAAAAAAAGATTTGTTAAGTGAAGAAATGCTTTATTAAGATATTTTAGTTTCAAGTTGGATTTGATTTTGTTAGTAGCTCATAATCTGTTTACATAGAGTTGAATGTGCTGACTAAACATCAAACTACAAGCCACGGTTATGGTTCGAAATCTAAGGATATTATTTAGTCCCTTAAGACTGAAGGTAAGTCGGTATCCGAACATGCCACTCACTAGTAAAATTTAAGTATCATAGATAGTTGAACACAATTTAGATAAACTCAATACATTTAACGTGTTAATCTAAGATACATTAGTAGCGTTTATATCTTAGTTCTAAAATTTTACAACCACATACAGTCTTCTCTCTTTCTCCATAATATTACTGAAAGTATTTGAAAAATCGTTTTAGTTTATATATTGTCTGGAGAAACATAGAAATTAGGCATTGTAGTTACATAAATGATTTTTCGAAAATTGTTTTTTTTCCAGATAGTTTCTGCAAATCATGAACCTATTTCATCCAGCATTGCTTATCCAAAACCTAGTGACATTATGGAATGTTTCTCAACTAATCTGGGATGTGACCTTTTCAAAATGGTAATATTTTTGTGTGTAGTTTGGATAGATTAATGTTTGCATCGTTTTCGAGCGACTTTTAACTATCATTAGCTCAGTGGATTTAAATGTTTCTCTGATCGGGAAAATAGAAGTTGTAATACTCCAGACATCTGACTTACTTTTTCGATTGACAAATGTTAGTTCCTTTTAAATTTTATCATCTGAGGTAATAATTAAAGTGTATTGGTTTTGGTTTAATAACCAGAAGTTAGTTTCGTGGTAATGACAAAGTTATGCCACTTAAACGGGTAGAGCATAAAGATCACAAGACATGGAAACTGACTGTTTTGTGTAAAGTGATGAACTTAGTACCTGTAGATTTTGTTGCTATTTACAGCCGAAAAGCTCACTTTATGTTCGGTATAAAAAAGTGCTTAACGTTGAAAAGCTGAAGACTTGATACTTGTTGATGTGAACCACAGTCAGTTTGTCGATTTTTCTATTAATTATTTTCTGGCCGAACTTTCCGAATATTATCCACTGGATTGTACAACATTATATAAGCAAATTAGATGAGAATTCTAGGATAATGCATGGATACGCACTTTTACCGTATTTTGAAATATCACTTATTTCTTTTAGGTGATCTAAATTCCACGAACGTTTTGTGAATAGTAGTTTTAAGCAGAAGCACTTACAGCAATGATCAATAACAACTATTAAGGAGTTTAACATATTTACCATTTTGCCTAATGACGTTTCCCGTAGTATATCTTATATGCAAAAACTTAAGTACACTCATGCTTAACTTTTTAGACACAAAACGACTAAATTATCTACATACTAAGTCATTGAGATTTAATTTTCTTACTGATATGTCGAAAACTACTAAGTTTAAAAAGCAAACCAGTACCTTGCTTCAGTCTTTCTATAATAAACCTCTATAACTAATAATTACATGCAAATACGACTAAACTATATACTTCTTTACACTACCGAGGGTTAAAGAACCTACTACTTATATAATACTCAGTGTTGACTTGAACAGTTAATACATGTTATCAGGTGTATATCCTGGTGTAACTCAGGCATAGACCGTTCATTGTTTATCCCCATAATTACGTTCTTTGCCGTAAAGAACCTTGAGTATTTCTATACAAACGTACATACAAATTTAAGATTCTCAAGGACATTACTACATACCTAGCTAAACCACGGTAGAAGCATGTCAACATTCTACCTAACAGAAATATTCGAAACCTCGAAATAAACTCGCAGCAAATATTTGACTTGCTGATAAGTTCATTTTGTTTGAGCTAAGGTTTCATGACAGATTACTAAGGGTGAACAATTAATCTTGATTACCTACTACGACAAACTTGAGGGATACATACCAGATATCTAATCCCACCCACAATCTGAAGAAACTTTCAACTGATCAACGCTTCTGAATGCTTGGCACTTTCCCACCATGCCTTTTAACCATAGTAACGATCTAGAATCATTGTCTGGGTTAAATTGACTATAGTAATGATTCCAGGGCAAAACCATACTGTCCAATAAGTTTGTAAGAAGTTTCTTCTGATTGTATTCCCTCGTTACTAGATTTTTTTTCTCGATAAGTTATTTTATATATGTTAGTTTGAACCCACTTCCATTTAGTTTGCTCACTTGCAAAATTTTTTCATACCCATTCTCATATTTCCAACTCATCGTGTGTTTTTGTTTACAGTATCTCAGTCCTGTGGACTATAAGTATGTACAAATGTTAAAAACACCTGTACCTGCACAAACCTACCTGCCATTGGGCCTACATGAGATAAAAATATCACATCTAGTCAGTATTCTGTTAATAGGACTAACTGGGGAACGGACTTCAACACCAGCATGTCCACCTTTTGATAAACGGGGTCCTTACACATATTGGATGGGATGTAAGTAAATAATTTTTGTTTTCCTGTTTAGTATTTACTGAGAGTTCATGTTTAGATATATCTCGTGTCCAACATATAAGATAAGAACTCGTTTCAATTGTTTTATTATACTCAAGAACTGGTTTGAAACCACTTCAGTTACCCACTACATGCATGTAGTTACTATTATCTAATTACACTCGTACTTCTACTCTAATTGTCAGTTTTTATATTAGTGATATGTAAGGTCAATTTTTAGTTGTTATTACAAGCCACGATGTCCCGTCATGTTTTTTGCTGTATTTAAATATAGCACATCATTTTGATGACGTTAGCTACTAACAACTTACCCGTTAATTCAAAGGAAAGATATAAGATATTAAACGCTAGGCTCATCTCATCAATATCCATAAACATAACTGGTACAAAGAATGCCTGTCGCGCATATTTTGGATATGCATTCTGATTGCTCAAACAGTTACAAGTGTTCCCTTTCAGTGATCCCACTCTCTTCTTTTTATACAAAAAAAAAAAACAGATTTCAACGGCTCTGAACAATGTTACTTCACACGCATGGACATAACCTCACAATTTTTGATGATGGAAAACGAAAAACTCAAAGCCCCGGCCTGGATGCGTAGTCGCGAACATTCTGAAAGGTTCTTGCGCTGGTATCGCGGTGCATCCCCAACGGTTGATGGATTCAGTGTTGCGCTAGGGATTTTCCTCATGACCCTCACACTTCTCATAGCTCTGTACATCAAGGAGGTCATTAATAAGAAAATAATACAAATACCTGCACAAATGGAAATTTTATATACATCTGACAACGAAAATCGTTTCGCACCTACATAAAAATTTTCTGAAAAAGATGTACATACAGAATATATTCTTTTAGACAAATTTCACTTTCTTTGCAGCATTTGATGGGTGTAGAGCACTTCGTTCTTGAGCAACCTTTTGAGCTTTTTCGACCAGACTAGTCAGTTGGCCGTTTTCACCCAGCATCTTGAGAAGCTCCACGATAAGTGGCAAATAGTTGTGTCGACGACGAATATTTTCTGCGCGATACGCTGCAATTTTCTTCTTTTCACTGGCGATATTGTTCATTAGTTCTGTTATGTAGACAGATTCTGACTACAAAGTAAGCGTAGTAACATGACAGGATTCATTACCAGTATGATATAACTAAGCCTCACATTGTAAAGAGCTAATATGTACCAAATATAGATTGTATTTACCAATACAACGGTATCTAAGCAAAGTAATGGTATCACAGTTTAAAAGCTTTATGAAGTTTCGAGTTTTACAAACCTTACATGAGTAACAGTCATACAAATAATATTTTACCCAAACCCTGATGAAGGGTTCAAATATGATTAAAAGGTAGTATAAATGCTTGTCATTCACATCTCGTACACTTGATGCAGAATCTCAATAGGAGCTGGAACGTTATACGTACCTAGAAACATCATTGGTAAACAAGGCGGTCCCGATGCACGCATCTAGTGGCAACACCATGTTAGTAACCAGAGGTTCGACAACGTGTGTTTGGGCACAACTGAAATACCGACTTTAGTGGCTTGCACATATACTACGAAAATCATTTCAGCGAATTCCACATTGTGTATTATTTGAGGACACTGAGACTGGTTGTAAAAGGTGGAGAGGTGGTCAGTGTATGACAGTCAGTCATCAACAACGTAAAACAAGGTACGTATGTACATCAGTTCAAGTTGCCATACCACATTAGCACAGAGATACAATTGTCAATTCAAATCCCGTAGTGGTAGAGGTAGTAAAATTATAGGCTGTAATCAGAAAAAATTAGGGTTTGAAGATGTTATTCAAGGAGTATAATCCAGTGAAATAAATTTGGAAAGAGAAAAAAGAAAGGGACATGAAGAATTCAGAAGATTAGAATTTGGGAGAACACAAAGAGTGGATGCACCTGCGCCATTGCCAACGATTTTGAGCCGTCATTCAAGGTCTCTAATCATCGGTTGCTATCGTCTCGCGGATTCCAACCAGGTAGTCTACACCTACCAACATGATTCAGTCCACTTGTCAGTGACTTCATGGATTTGTTCCATGTCTTGATCTGGCCGCCCCTAGTTTTCCTCCAACCTACTCCTACACCATGAACATCGCATGTCGGGGCAGTTGGTGGTTGGGTATACGTAACACGTGTTCTAGCCGTCTCAACTGATGGAGTTTCACTACTTCATCAATTGATTTGCCATCCTTGCCTAGTACCCGTTTGCTAACAACTGCGTTACTTAATTGACACCTATGATCAAATACTAGTAACGTACGAATATCCTGTACTCTTACCGGCCATGTTTCACTGCCATAAAGTAGGACGGAACGAACTGCTGCGCAGTAAACCCGTCCTTTGGTTGATAGACGGATATCTCGCCTACGCCATAAACAACGCAAGTTGGCAAAAGCTAGTCGAGCCTTCTGTATCCGTGTTGAAATTCGGTCACACACAAGACCACAAACCCTGACGGTACTCCCAGGATAAGTGAAACAGTTGGAACGCTCAACTACCTCACTCCTTATCATTAGTTTGGTTGTCAATGCAACCCAATCCTCAAGCAACATTTTGCATTCCGAGGGAGAGAATCGCATGCCGAACATGCTTGCATTGTTGCTTAGAGTGGTCAGAAGACTGCATTTTGTTAGTGTCTTCACCAAGTAGAACCATGCCATCGGCATATTCTAGGTCAAAAAGTGAAAATCCCGGTAGAAGTTCAACTCCTGGAAGTTTAGATGAGGAAAGTGTAATCTTTAAAAGCACGTCAACGACAAAGTTAAACAAGAATGGAAAGAGTGGACAGTCCTGACGAATATCACTTGAGGTAATCAATTCTGATGACAGGTCTCCATAAGTTCTCACTCAAACGTTTGTGTTCGAGTAGATAGCCTTTATAAGGTTAATGTACTTCTTTGGTACTCCTTTCAGTTACAAACACTGCCATAGAACCTCATGATCAACAGAGTCGAATGTCACCTTGAGATTGGGAAATACTATTATTGTGGGATGTATGAATGTGTATCTATGTTCTAGGATCTGACGTAATGTGGATATCTCGTCTATACAGCCACGTCCAGATCGGGGACCAGCCTGGTTTTCTCTAGTCTGCTCTTCACGAGCTTTAGTTAGGCGTCGAAGTATTATTGAAGCTAATATTTTAGACACTATATTAGTCAAACTGATTCCTCTGTGATTGTCACAAGAGGACTTTTGTCCTTTCTTATAGACTGGCACAATCAGTGATTGAGACCAGTCAGATGGGATTACGTCCAGTTCCCAAATTCTACCTAAGACCTCAGTTAATCTCACTGCTAATACTGGACCACCATCCTTAAAAATCTCAGGAGTAAACCTGTCAGGGCCTGCTGCTCTTTCTCGCTTCAGATTTCCTATGGCTTTTTCAACTTCGTAAGGAGTCGGACCTACATTAACTTGCCATTCAGGTTGACTGGAGATCGTGGGAAACCGAAGTGTGGCTGAAGGCCAGTTGAACTGATCCCTAAAGTGTTCTGCCCATCGATCCAATCTCCTGGATTGAGAATGTATAATATGTCCATCTTTCTCTGAGATTGTTTCGCTAAGGGTTAAGTTCCTAATACCGGTTTCCTTAACAAGTCTGAACAATTGTCTGCTATTACCTATTGCCGCTGCCTTTTCCATCTCTCTTGCTTTCGCTACCCACCACTGTTCGCGATCATTGCGTAGACTTTTTGTCATTCAGTGCTTAAGCTGACTCCGCTCTTCATTATGTTCAGAGCCAGGTGGAATGAGTTTCCGAGCATCTATCAGTGAGGTAGATGCTGCTGAGATCCAGTGTTTCTCCTTAACCTTATGGTTTACCTTACTAGCAGATATCACTGCTGTTTCCACAGCTTTTCGGATATCATTCCATGCTGCCTCGGGGTGGGCATCACATACATGGCTGCCTAACTGTTTTCCTAGTTGTTCCTGAAATATACTCTTAGCTTGACTATCATTAAGTAGGCCCTAAGAGGTTTCCTTGCAGTGTCTTTCCTACGTCCAGTAAGACGCAGACAAATACGCGCTCGTACTAGAGCATGATCTGAATCTAAGCATGTGCTCCAGAATGAGCGACAGTCTTCTATCGAGCCCCTCCATCGGTGGCTGATAGCGATGTGATCCAGTTGGGTCCAACGTTGGGACGAATTTGGGGGTCGCCATGTTAAAAGGTATTTTTCCTTATGCTTAAAGTTAGTATTTGCAAGAAACAGGCGGTTATCTGAGCATAGCTGCAACAGACGGTCGCCATTATCTGTTCTTTGAGCCACGACACCATAAGATCCACCCAGGTGTCTTTCCCTTTCGCTTAGTTTACCTACTTGAGCATTAAAGTCACCGGCCACTATTACTACATCCGAGTGCCTAGCTTTTCGGAGAAGGTCAGAAAGCTTTCTGTAAAACTCATCTTTTACATCATCTGAGCTGCAGTCAGTGGGAGAGTAGGCAGAGACGACGAGGAGGCAACGACGAGTGTTTCTATCTTTCCGAGTCCTTACTGCCCCGTTTAGTCGAACAGCTCACAGGCGATTGTCTACTGGGATCCAACCTAAGAGAGCTAGTTCTGCTCTATGACTTAATGCTATACCTACACTAGCGAGGCCATGGGAAGCAGAATCAGGGCTTCCAGATACACGAAGTGTGAACCGATGTGGGTCTTTATTTTGATATGGTGAGGTCAGATGAATGACGCTACTCGGATCCTGTATGCGTGTTTGGAAGATGCAGCACAAATCGATGACGCAAGATTCTAAAGTCCTGGCTAAGGAAGCATGTTGTCCTATTTGTCAGTGTTCAGACGTTTAAAGCTCTTACTTGTAGTTTAGAGCATGGTTTCAGTAGAGCAGGAATAACGTTCCGCGTACTCGGATCGTTTGATCTGACAGCGCGAGATGATAGAGGAATGTGAGAAGGATTAGTCGCAAAGATAAGAGTTATTAGGAGGTGTAGGAAGGATTTGAATGTGACCAACTTGATCTCGTGTGCTGTTTCGGACATGAGGGCTGATGTCATTTCTTTGCTGCTCACACTATGGAAGGGTATTTCTTGAGGAACCTGAAAAGGGAGTTGGATTAGTGTTGGTCTTAACGACCTGGGAGCGTGATCACAAAGTTCAAGGGACAACTGCTTGAGGATGGTCGCGCACGGCCTTTTCGTGGAAGGTTTTTAATGTGTTAGCTCCGTTCCTTGAAAGGCCTTACCGCCGGAGACGGAAATCCGTGAGGTAGGTTGAGGTGTGACATTTTTAGGGTCGACTCTTTCCAACTCAGTGCTTCCTTGTGTGCTAGAACCTAAAGGAACGTATGTTCCAGCCAATATAGCTCGGTTGGGTCATCACAATAGGCAAGCCCGGCCACAACGCCAAGGTAGCAGCTACGGTCGGGCAGTATATGACATGGTGCCGTGGCATGAAAGAGCTGTGCAAAACTGACATTTGTTGTTCCTTCATGACTCCCTGATTGGGACCCTAGAAGCAGCGCAACAGCGGCTTGAGGCGTCAGAAATGGCTCGAAATAGAAGCTAGTGGTAGACCTACTTTCTTTTTTAATTTCTTCATATAAGTGAGACGAACTTCTTAGACTCAAAGAATTCTCTCTAGCTGTTTTTCTTGAGTAAACTACTTCTCCCATTGCTTTCTACTCCCATTCATTTACTTTTTTGCTATACTCACCTTCATTTCTATAGCTCCTCATCTAATTTTCTTGTGTGGGGCGTCGGTGGTCCTATGGTAAAATGCTCGCCTGTCGCGAGGGCAGTCTAAATTCGATTCCCGGCCGACGCACACTTCTTCCCCAAACGCCCTGGGACGGGCGAGGGTGGGAAGTCTTTTTTCCCTCTCGAAATGTTCTCACATGGCCACGTGTGTCCAGCTACTCAGTCTTTTCGCGGCGGGTATGGCGTATGAACCAATTGTTGGTCACCGGCTACCATTTGGCTGCATCTCCTAACGTTGCTCCACTGCCTTGTGGATCAGACCTTTGGGTTGAAGGCTCCGAGTGTGACATCCTAAGGTAACCACCTGTATCGGTCTATGCACTCGGGGAGTGTCACAGCCTACACACAAACCAAATGAAATGATTAGTACTGGAAATACTATTCTTGCTTCAATTAAAATACAGACGATTCACACTCATTTGATAACATTTATTTTCATTTTCTTCATATACTACTTCACTTATCTACTCTCTTTTGTTCTCACTTATACAGCAGTTGAAAACTTATTTTATCTAAACGATCTCGAGTTACTGACTGGTAGTAAGTTGCATGCTACCACCGTATAATACCGAGATTCTTTCTGAAACCACATATACCATTCAAACTGACCTCCTTCAACGTTCGCACACCAATGCAGATCGGACAACAGATACGGTTGGCTGTCTTTAGAAAGCCTCAATATCGATGTCTGTTGTCTATCCGAGACCTATATCCAAGAATCTAGTGAAGTACTGCAAATTCGCTCTCCATCTGTCGCTTCGAGAAAACCAAAACCTGTTTCTGGGAGTTGAATGTAATCCCATCTGACTGGTCACAATATATAAGAAAGGGTCAAAATCATCCTGTGATAACCGTAGAGGGATTAGTTTGACTAATATAGCATCTAAAATACTAGCCTCAATAATTATCGGGTGCCTAAATAAGACTGATTATCTGCAAACACGAGAAAACCCTGACTCCAAACCAATGGTGCACATGGGCTTCAGTATCCTGAAGGAACAAATGGCGTATGAAACAATGGTTGGTCACCGGCTACCATGGGACTACATCTCCTTACGATGCTCCACTGCCTTGTGGATCAGACCTTCAGGTTGAAGGCTCGGGTGTGGCCCCCTAAAAAAACCACTTGCTTCGGTTTGGGAACCCGGGCAGTATCACAGTTCTCACACAAATCAAATGAGATTTGTGTGGCGCATATGTATTTGGTGCCTCCTTGTACCAATATCTGTGTTAAAATAAATAAACTTGTATGTGACCGGTAACTAGTGAAAACATAAAGTAACTCACTAAACGATGTAATCAGAACTTAACGTGCTTCGTATTTAACTAGCATTTTCAAGATTCCGAGTTACTTTCGTAACCCTACCAAAACTTACAAGAAAGAAGGGATGCTCTTTATGCTGTCACAAGTTGGAGATGTCAGTCTTTTTGTTATTCTAAGCGTGAATATTATAACTAACTAAATGAATGACAAATGATATGTGTAATATTCAGTGAAATAAGTGATTATCGACTAACACTGAGTTTCAAAAACACAGAATATTCATCTGTTTGTGTTTAACAGCTGGATTTATACATGGATTTCTTTCTAGTCAAAGGATATCAACAATGTTTGAAATGTGCTCGTAAATGTTTCATGCCTGATATGATGTAATGAATGCTTCGTTTTGACGATAACTCTAATTCCTCGAGAAACACTTAACTATTAGAGATATCTACTGGACGTTAAACAAATTTGGCAACAAAATATGGAGGTTGTAACTGCCAAATATGAACGGTTTCAGGTAAGAATTTTCTGGATACAAATTAGTTCACTAAATTAGCATAGCTTAGAATAATTCGGAGATATGTATTTGCACCAATCCCTCAGCATATCATTTTGGATTTGGCTCACTGAGTTGTATTCTGCTCACACTTTCATAATTTTGATTTGCAGATACTCAAAACAGGTAAACGACTTCCCGAGTGACTCAAATGAGTTCTCACAGAATCTTAATTTTCTGTTGAGAAACCGTAACCTGGTGTGAATATATTATCCTTGTTTCGTGGCTTTTCTAAAAAAAGAAGGGAGTACTAAAAGGGGAGAACAATTACAACTATTACGTATGGTAGAGTTCTTTGAAAATCCTGTCAAGTAAGGAAGAGATATTCTCAGGATAACTCTTCAGTTTGCGTTCACGTTCGCAGTTTTCAAGACTATAACTTCATCAAGTGACAAGAAAATGGTCACGCAAATGGTACCCACTGAAACGTAAAATGTACAGACTTACATCACTTGAGTCCTTTTTATATTGTGCCAACTGTTTTTCGTACATAGCAAGTCGATTAGGGACTACTGCCATTATATTGAACTTTCCGTCTACACATTTCTCCATACGCTTCATTAGCAACGGACGAACCGAATCTATCCAAGATGAATCTTCAGGTAGTTTTCCGTGATCAACAGGGCCGGGTTTTAAGCCATCTAATTCGTACAAAGTACCATTAATAGGAACATAACCAACAAAATGGTAAACGTCTTCATTTGACTTAGGGGTCTTCTCATCAAACTCGAATAACTGATAACTAATTACATATTAGCAACACGAAGGAAAATTACTTGCTAAAGCTGTTATGTACGACTCTAATTTGGTCAGAATTGCTTATAGCAGTACCCTTCATCTAGAAAAACTTGTTAGGAAGACATCTTTCATACTGTACTGTCAAAGTCTGACACAAAAGACTTGAAATCAGACAGCGTTGGACCAATGGGCACTTTGTCATCAATATTTAGCAAGATATTAATAATTGCTTGAGTCGCACAAGCATTTGAAATTGTCTAACAGAAATGTTTGAACAATTACTACGCTACTTGTTTCGCAAAAAATATGCCCCTGTTATTTGCGTCAGTTACCACTTTTCCAACATTATCTTGTTTGTCATCGTAGTTAAATAAGAAAATAAACCCAAGTGCGTCAGACACGTTGCTTGTTTCTGTGAGATCATAAACTTCTTCGCATTCCAAACTTTCTACACCTAGAAACTATATTAAGCAGTGTGCTATGACTAACCGAAACCTCTAATAAGTTCAGTGAATACTCCAGGATCGCTTTCTATTAAACACCAATTACCACTACTTGACATTGATTGAGTTCGGCCTTCAGAATGAATTTCCCTGACACACAAAAAGTAAAATAAGATCACCATTTAGTGAAGCATACTGTCATGAACTACCATTTCCTTCAGATAAAAAGCTCAAAATTTATAGATCAAACTGTTTTGGCACAAAAGTTATGTTTATGCGCACTGCATATTCTTGTTATCAGATGTACAAAATATCTCATCAACCATGGTATTAGGTCGCCCGACCTGTGTTATTGCTTGCAGCTTGTTTCTAAGTGTTCAATGATGGAGTTGATACCACTTATTTGGGTAGGGCTCTCCAGTCATTGACCACTCGGTGAGAAAACCGGAATCATGCCCCGAGTTTATTTGATCGCGGTTTTTGAACCCTCTCTCAGCGGTCTCACATATGATTAGTTTCAATGGTGGAAAAGGATAAAGCACGTTGACATCCAAATCATTATTTAAGATCCAGAGTGCCAATATAAGGTCACCTCGCGTTTTACGGTAAGATAAAGCGAAAAGGTGTGAAATTTTGGTCTCTCATCATAGGAGAATCAGGAAACCTCGTTGACAACTTAATTTTTACACTTTAAAAATGGTCAAGTGTGGTAGCATCCTTGATAAAACATGGACTAGCTGCTTGGATCCATTATTGCAAGTGGACTATAAAGTCTGAAATACGTCTTCATCAAGGCGTTCGAACGCTCAGCGAAGTGACCATAGCACTCGGAAAACTTTGGCACTTTCTTCATTGCAAGACATAGTTGTTTTTAAGTCGCAACCCACTATTACACATAGGTCTTTTGTTCCTGTACGCGTGGAAGCGGTTGAGTATTATTGTCTCACGACAACTCGTCAATTTGAACCCATATTGAGGATTGTGTTCTGTGAGAATTCTGAGCTAGCTTTCTCAATGAATAACCGTTGGTTTATCAGGAGTCTGTTGTAATTTTTAAATTTTTTAGTGCATGTGTAAGATGCTTTTTTGTAAATTACGTGAAGTTTGGAAACAATTATATTATCTACTCCATCCTAAAGCTATATGTGGTGTTTGAACGAACTAATAATACCTTTGTACTTGTTGAATGCTCGATTTCGAATTCCAAATACAATACATTCGCTTGTGCTTGTGTCTTACTTCTTAATTCAATTGCGCTATTTCTTGGATTCCTAGTTCATAATACAATTCAAAACATTATATTGGCGTCACGATGGAGCCTGTAATGGAAAAGGTAGATATTCATTCAACTTCGGAATCTTTTGAAGATTACTTTGAAAGGTTCGAAATCTGGGCTATGACCAAGGAAGATGATGAGGATGTTAATATTGTGGCACATTTTCTCACATTCATTGGAAAAGAAGCATACAGCTTATTAGGAACTCTGGCTATGCCGGAAAAGCCCATTTCGCCTCCTTATACAGCTCTCAAGGAACTGCTGCTAGACTATGTTCAGTATACAAATTTCTAATGCGGTAAAAGAGGGAGATCTCGTAAAATGATTCATGAGGATATAAAAAATTCCACTACATTACTACGTCATCCCAACCCAGCGCATACTCAAGGTTATGGAGATAATTCATCGAGGAGTTGCGATGCATTTCATGAAGATGAGCACAAGTTTAGTCAGTGTTTGTCCTGTGGCAAGTTCCACTCTTTGAATTCATGTAAATTTCGTAATTCTAAGTGCTTTAAATAGGTGATATTGGACATATTCAGTCAGTTTGTAATACTAATGTTCATCTGATTGCAACTAATATTAAGACTTGTAATTCTGATTCTACTGAGTCGAGTATTCATTATGATCATTTATCTTTAACAACGATTTCAAAAGACAGTGCAGAGTCATATGGCAGTTCAGAGTTAAATGAAATCCAGAATTCTTGTGAGACAACAGTTCCTAATCAACCGATTTATCAGAATTCTCATGCTATTGTACCAGGTATGACTTTTCCTAATGATTCACATATTTCTAATGAAATTACTTGCAATTCTGAGGAAAATATGTTAAATGAACTTAATCATGATCAGAAACCTGACGTGGTTTGGATAGATGCTGATTTTTCTAACGATCCTACGCTCTGCAATGACAGTCCTAATGAATTTCATGAGAATATTTCAGAAGAATCAAATCTTGATGTCATATCATATATTACCTATCCTCATAATGCATTTGATCCTTGTGAAAAACCTGCTCAATGCGAAGCACGAGTACTAAGTGACCTCGAGTTTGATTACATTTCGGATGATTTCATATCAACTGCTGTTTACCCTTATCACAAAAACAGTTCTAATGTTTACTCTAAACAATAAGAGAAATATGTTTTAAATGAAGCCACATTATTCATAACTTGGGGATATAAAGATCCAACATTATTTCGTGCTGGAGGGTAGTGTTAAAAAATCTATGGTTCGAATTCTAGATATTATTGATTTCATTACAAAACCGACATGCTGGTTGTATACAATTCCAGGTGAGTCTGTTCCGATTTCGTTTGTTAATTCCAATACTAATGAGCACTTTCTAGATACTACAAAGTTTTTATCTTATACAATGTCGGACAGACTCAGGATGAACTTAAGAAGACGTACAACCGATTACAAACACTTATACTTCTATTTAAGCTGTGGCGGATGTGGTGTTTGAACGAACTAATAATACCTTTGTACTTGTTGAATGCTCGATTTCGAATTCCAAATACAATACATTCGCTTGTGCTTGTGTCTTACTTCTTAATTCAATTGCGTTATTTCTTGGATTCCTAGTTCATAATACAATTCAAATAATCCAAAACATTATACTATACCAGCATTATTGGTTCGTTACATATAGCACCGTTTTCGATATTTTTTCTTTATTATCCTTTTCCTTTCTTACCTTACAAGTTTGTTTTGACTTCTATATTTCACACCTCAATATGCACAAATGTTTAGTTGTCAGATTGTTCAGAGCAGTAGTAGTGTAGTGGTGTAGCGGTAGTGGTAGTGTAACACATAGATCTGAGAAAATTTGTTTTCTTGCAAAATCATCCGAGTTTATACAGTATATCAAACACTTAAAAATGTGAAGTTGTTGACATGATAACAGTGACGGTTCTCTCAAATATGGGGCTGCCATCAAAGTAGCCAAAGTTCCTGAATTTGATGAAATGATTGTCCACGGTACTGAGTATGATGCATGGTAGTCACACCATTTCCGTCCAACTTCAGTGGGCCCCGATCCCCCACACAAATCACCTACGTTCGTGATCTACACGGCCATACGAACTTGATTACTGTCAACCCTCAACTTTAAGGCCTGCGTTATGTATATTTTCTATTGATAAAGTTTGTTTCTATTTGACAGAGGTTCTAGAAAACCACACATTCTTCTGCTAAGTACCGTCAGTTTTTACGAAGGTCTTGGGGTTTCGATATAAAATAATATAAATGCAGCAGTCATCAGTTATTTGATTATATTATATTGGTGGTGTAGTACTTACTTACATCCGTTACTCCACGTGGCGAGCATAGGCCGCTCATCAGCATCCTTCATCCAACACTGTCCTCAACAATCCTTCCAGCTCTTTCAAGTTGTTATTCATCCTTTTCATATCTGCTTCTCTTCTCGACGTAATGTGTTCTTTGGCTATCCTCTTTTCCGCTTCCCTTCAGAATACAAAGTAGGGGCTTGCCTCGTGATGCCGTTTGATGCTTTACGTAATGTATGTCCTATCCATTTCCATCATCTTCTAATTTCTTCTTCATTTGGAAGCTGGTTTGTTTGTATGCGACAGGAGGGCTAGGTCGTCTGCGAAGTCCAAATCGTCTAATTGATTCTGAGCTGTCCATTGTATGCCGTGTTTTCCTTCAGATGTCGAGGTCTTCATAATCCAGTCGACCACCAAAAGAAAGAGGAAGGGAGAGAGTAAACAGCCTTGTCTGACTCCAGTCCTTACTTGGAATGCGTCTGTCAGCTGTCCTCCATGCACTACTTTGCACTGTAGTCCGTCGTATGAGTTCCGGATAATGTTGACAATCTTCTGAGGAACTCCGTAGTGTCGAAGAAGTTTCCATAATGTCCTCCTATCTACACTGTCGAATGCCTTTTCATAATCAATGAAGTTGATGTATAGTGACGAGTTCCACTCAACTGATTGTTCGACGATGATCCGTAATGTCGCAATTTGGTCTGTGCACGACCGATCCTTGCGGAATCCAGCTTGTTGATCTCGAAGTTGGGCGTCTACTGCATCTTCCGTCCGGTTCAGCAACACTGTTAAAGATTTGCCCTAGTACTGACAGTAGTGTGATGCCTACTGGTGGTCTAGTACCATAAATTTGTTAGATGATGCCGATTCCAAACTTAAGTCTTATATACTCTACCAGATTAGCCTCGTCGTAGATCAAGCAGTTCAACTTTTATTTATGTACATATAAAACACCCATATTCAACGTGCCTAGTAGAAATCTGTTTTTTGTCATTTGTATTTCGCAAAGAAATTTGCATGTAATAAAAGATGCAATATAATACAAAAAGCAGATCAAGAAAACAGGCATACGTTTTCACTAGTGTGACCGTGAAACTCCAGATTTAATCTTAGTTATCGTCAGGTTTGATTTACTCAGCTAAAATACAATTTCATTAGGCACAACATTGAATCTCAGGAAATTTGGCACCAAGGTATATGCCTGTGCTATCTCCTTAAGTTGCTACAAATGCTCACGATTTTTTGAGTTTCCACACATCAAAATCGTGCACATTTATGGGGCATAAGATAATGAACGTTTTGTTTCTGCAATACGATCGAAGGATAACTCGCCATCACAGCTCACAACCCGTTGTCATATATTGCTTAGCGAAAATGCCACGTGTGGAGCGATCCTGAAACATAGCTGATTACGAGCTGTTCAGTGCTACTTCGAGCACCGTTTTCACGCACAAGACAACAACACCAGTGTGAGCAGTTTACAAGTGTTGTATACAAGATTTCGTCCATATGGGTCATTTACGAAAAACCACACGAAATGCCCTAAATCAACCAGACTAGAACTCATCACAAGCGTAGAAAGCCTCATAAA